GGCATTTCCAGTAAGTTACTGCGTTGGATTTTACTGTATAATATAACCACTCTGATGCAGCATTTTCTCTTTTGCCACTCACTCCAAATACAATGGCAGTGACAAAATAATAGCTTCTCTTGATATTTTCGATTGCGGAGTGAAGAATGGATGAGGGGGATATATCAAACAAATTGTCTACATATCTACGTTGAAACTGGGATAAATTGGAAGACAAGTCAGAGCTATGTTAGATGTTTAGGTCACATATGTATAATTTCCTTTTCAACATTATAGTGAGGACCCGATTCACAGTTAAAAATGTCATTTAAATTTTGTAGAAGCAACAGTAATGTCTAAATAACTTCCACACTTCAGCCAAAGACACACCTGTGATCTGAGCCTTTGCTTCCTTTTGACTGTCTTTGACTCTGTGCACTACAGGCCTCAGCTGCTGGTGCTGTTGAAGCTGGATGAGGACCTCCATGTGAAATATCCTCGACTGCTCACCTTTGCCTCACAGCTGAAGGCAGGAAAGGGTCTGACCATTGTGGGCTCTGTCATCCAGGGCAACTTCCTGGACAGCTATGGGGAAATGCAGGCAGCTGAACAGGTAAATACGGAAAGGGATGTATGCTGTACATGCTCTATACAATTTTCTATTGCACCGTGTTGCAACTAATTGTTACAAATGAACACCTTTTGTAAATGGAAAAGCACAATGAAGCGTAAACGTGCTTTAATGTGAAATTAAAATTTTTGTTACATTTCTTCCTCAGCAACTTTTTTTTTGTTTTAGCATTCTTCCCTTTAATCAAAGGACATAACTGGAAACAGCTTGTTGTTGTCTACAATGTGGTGCCAATGAGCCATTTCACATAAAATAAGGGACTTTGTGGAAGAACATTTTTCACTATGTGATGTTTTTGGTAAAGAATTAAACAAGTGAAGCAACGTTTACTCTTGTTTATGTCACAATAACTGAGAAATTAATCTCTCATCCTCAATTCACAATTCAAGTGTTAAGCCAATATTCATGCATTATGTACAGTATAAGGAGTTATAATTAGAGCTTGTGCTACAGGGAGGTAGTGAAAGTAAAACCTGTATTGATTTTATTTATTGTTATGCAATATAAATCATGCACTTAACTCCACTCAGACATATGAACGTACATAATGCTTTTTCTTTTAAAGCTTTACGTAGGCGGTTTTTAACTGTTCAAATATGGTTTATCTGCTTACTGCTTGTTGTGGTCATGGGACTAAAGTTCTGTTTGCCCACATTGAATCTGCTAGGCCATTAAGAATATGATGGAGATCGAGCGAGTTAAGGGTTTCTGCCAGGTCGTGGTGGCATCCAAGGTGCGGGAGGGCGTTGTCCATCTGATCCAGTCCTGTGGTCTGGGGGGCATGAAGCACAACACCGTGGTAATGGGCTGGCCATATGGCTGGAGACAGAGTGAAGACCCTCGTGCCTGGAAGACTTTTATCAGTAAGAGTCTCACTAAAATACTGCTCATACCACATGAGACTTAAAAAGCCAAGTCAGTATGGTACCCCTGTTAAATGACTACTACACCAAATGAGCCTTGATTGCATACTGTATGTAGTTTTCACACATAATTCAAATCATTATGTACTAAACAAACAACTGACTATTGTGAACTTGTAGTTAAAGCAACCGTGGGCCTGAAAAAGCCAATGTGTATCTTTGAATGTTTAAATACATTCTGTATTAGTTTTCAACTGGCTTGTACAGTATACAGAATGTAAGGTTCATGGGGTATTCGCTTATACAGTACAGTTAATATCCATGAATCCATGTTCTCATTTCTACTCAGACACAGTCCGCTGCACCACAGCTGCCCACCTGGCTCTGATGGTGCCCAAAAATGTGTCCTTCTACCCAAGCAACCATGAACGCTTCACAGATGGCAACATCGATGTGTGGTGGATCGTCCATGATGGGGGGATGCTAATGCTGCTGCCTTTCCTGCTCAAACAACATAAAGTGAGATGACAGATATTTGTCTTTTACTCCAATAAGCTATTTTGGAAGTTGTAGAAGTAATGTAAATTTACGTCTCTGTTATTTGAGGCTTTCCCCTTTGAAGAATGTTGATTTTGGCAACTTTTTTGAAGTATGTTTTTTGTAAGTAATTATATTCACATCCTTGAAACTTGTGCCAATAGCGAATGGTTTTATTTGCATTTTAGGTTTGGAGGAAATGCAAGATGCGCATCTTCACTGTAGCTCAGATGGATGACAACAGCATCCAGATGAAGAAAGATCTGGCCACGTTCCTTTACCAGCTGAGAATAGAGGCTGAGGTGGAGGTGGTGGAGATGGTGAGAATGCCTCTTAAACATTTACTAATCTGAGCAAAAGAGAAGACTAATGTAGGGCTTTTATGGCTAGATCAGTAATAAAAAACAGCAACTGAAACCAGATGTCCATTATGGTATTAAGAACAAACAAGTTTGTTGTTTACTACGAGATGCCGTAAATGTGTTTGTTTGAAAGATTTAGGGTGTTAAGAAAAAACAAAAATCACTGCTTAACTTGAACATGAACTAATTTACTTTCGTGGTCACTCTGTTCATGTTCAACAGACAAATATGTTTCAGCCAGATAAACTTCTAAAATGATTTCTTTGAACTTTAGCATGATAGTGACATCTCAGCATACACCTACGAGCGGACGTTAATGATGGAGCAGAGGTCCCAGATGTTGAGGCAAATGAGGCTGTCAAGTGCAGAAAGGCAAAGAGAGGTATGTTTTTTGTGTGTTTATTCCTGAAATAGTTTATAGATTTAAAAAAAATATATATATAATGCATGATACATACTGAAGATGTCTGTGTTTTAATGTTTCAAATTTTCACTACTGGTTGTGTGTAGTGATGCAATTTGGGAATTTAACCTTCTCAACTTTACCTTATAAATCATACAGAGTCTCATAATATTATCATTTCATTCACAGGCCCAGCTGGTTAAGGACAGACACTCTTTGGTGCGAATGGGAAGTCTATACTCAGATGAGGAGGAGGAGGTGGTGGAGGCTCCTCCAGAGAAGGTTCAGATGACGTGGACAAGAGAGAAGTGTGAGGCTGAGAGGCGGAACAGGAACAATGCGCCTGAGAACTTCCGAGAACTCATGAGCCTCAAACCGTGAGTCACATTCAGTTATTATCAGCAACTTTATCGTGTCTCATTTAAACAATAAAACCGGTAGCATTAAACGCAAAAAGCCTTCACCTGAATTTACCCTAGACTTTTTGTATATTTCTCTGTTCAGCAAAGTTTCTTTTTGGCACAAATCCATTTTTACTCTGTCTTCCCCTCCTGCTGCACTCCAGGGATCAGTCAAATGTGCGGCGAATGCATACGGCTGTGAAACTGAACGAGGTAATAGTCAACAGGTCCCATGATGCTCGATTAGTGTTGCTCAACATGCCAGGTCCACCTCGGAACACAGATGGTGATGAGAACTGTATCCTTTGCCAATATAGCACTTGGGTTAAAGAACATGTGTATGCATACTGACATCAAGATGTTGCCACAGATGTTGGTTGTTTTCTGACTCTTTACTACTCTAGCTCTTGTTGGTTCATTTCTTTAACCTGTAACTCAGATATGGAGTTTCTGGAGGTGTTGACTGAAGGCCTGGAAAGAGTGCTGCTGGTCCGAGGCGGAGGTCGGGAGGTTATCACTATCTACTCATGACCAATTATTGCACATTGCTACACAGGAGCATCGGTCTCAACAGAATACATTCCACCTATGGACACGAGGCAGCACCTGCTTTGCTGCCAGACGGTTCTGGGTAGATGCATGAATTTGATGCTTTTAGTGTGAAGTATGGACTTTTGAGTACAAAAGAGGTTTATTCTATTCTTGTAGAATATTGGGACACATTAGTGTACAAATCCACCTGTATGTTCACGGCTCTGCCATTCTTACAAATGAAAGCTTTTTTCATTTTATACATTTTTCACCCTCAGAAATCAATACCTGTGTGTCAAACTGGGAAAAACACACTTTAGATGAGCATTTTCTTATTTATAGGTCTTCATATGTGCTAATAAACCTGTATTTGACGAGTTGGCAGAATTAACTCTTCTGAGTTGTACACGTTGTTACAACTGTTTAAATGATATGCCAGATTTTTAATCTGAAACAGCTCTTTATTTTGGAAGCACATCTCTATTTATTTATTTATTTTTTGACATTTCCCCACTGAGGTAAAAAAAAAAAAGTTACTGTAGATAATGAACACAGTGCTTGATTGTTGTGTATTCAGTAGCTGGCACAGAATCCCATTAGTAAATGTGGATACCAGAGATCATCAAGTTTTTAAAAAGAGTTATAATTTCTGATTTTTATGGACATATTTTGTGTTGTTGGTGTATATGAATAACTTTTGAACTGTAACATTTTTTATTTCTTCTGCAAACCTGAAAAGATTTTCTGCACACAAAAAAAGGGCTTGATTTAATGTTATAATCACAATCTTCAGACTTTCAGTTTTTGTCAGTTTTCAGCGTAAGTGGCGCCACCATTCCTGCCCTAGATCCAAATTGCCTAACTATGTTACAGTTTCTTTGGTTGTACTGTAAACGGATATACCAGTTGCTATTTGTGACAAAATAGATACTCAAGGAGTGTTTGCTGTAGTATTAAACCACACTGACTATTATCATGGAAACCAGACGACAAAGATTATGACTTTCAGCCCGTTTTGTGTCTTTTCAGGTCTTTTTCTAAAAAGCTAAGTATGATCAGTATTTCAGGCTAGCATACAGTGTAGAGAACAACTGCTTATTTTTATGTAGACTAAACATTCTGTACAAGCCAACAGTGTTTTATATGATAAACCATGATAAGGTGTGCAGTTATTAAAAAACAATCATACAATGCTAAAAGTGCTCTTGGTCTTCCCTTCACTTTAGCTTTAATAAAAAAAAAATGTTTTCCTTTTCTTTTCAGAAAAGCAAAGGAATGGATTATGCCACTTAATAATAATAATAATAATAATACATTTTATTTATAGAGCAAGTTTCAAGGAACTCAAAGACACTTCACATAGGTTAAAATTAAACTTGAACATAATCACTTGCCAGCAATCCAAATATACATTTTGGCAGAATACACACTTTAAGGGGCAACTTGCCAATACAGTGTTAAATGTGAATCTTAACAAGGAAGGTTTTTGTTTCAGTTATTTCTATGTGAAAATATTGAAATTAGAAGAAACAAAGGCGGTTTTCTCTTTGGCCAAAGCTCACAATAAAATAAACACTTCCACAACATCTTACTTTGTAGTAAGATAAAATAAAAAATCTATTCATAAGCTATTCCCCTGTGCTATTCTGATGAAGCGCTTCATAAAATACCTTAAAGTAAATATTATAGCAATAATATGAAATTTATAAGATGATAATGCAACATTGCACAAATAATTGTGAACTGTTTAGCTAACCACAGGCCTAATGACCTCAAATACTGCTCAGTGTGCAACAATACATTAAACCTTCACAAACAAAAAGAAAAAATACAGATTTCAAAGAACTTGTGTGCCATATCTGCTGTTTATGTATCAGTGCCATTGTTCACCTTCATGCCATCATTTTTCATAGTGGTGATGTCAGCACGGGTACAAAAAATTCAGCAACAAATGAAATATCTAATCAATAAATTCCAAAATAAATGCCAAAGTGCCTTTCATAGGACTGGTGATCTGAGTATTTTAATTTATATGTATAGAATATACAGAGGTTGGCAATTAAATTACCTCCCAAATGGGGCTCCATATTGAATGGTTTTTGTGTTGGTTATAAGAAAGTCATCAGTATTTCCTTATCTTTACTGACCTGTGGAAAGTCGGGATGACTCACAAACAGCTACAGCAATCTTATTAAGCTCTTCTTATTAACATTAAAAATTATGCTCTTTAAAAAAAGGCTGTGCAGCTAATCTGAGTTTTTAAATATTTATTCAATCATAAATATGCTGGAAAGCAGCAGAACTATAGCCAGGATTAGCAGACCTTTTGGTCCATGTTGGGCTCTGAAGGAGGAATTCCGGTCAGAGGGCTGCTGTCTTTGGTCAGGAGGTCTGAGGACCATCCTGCACGGGTTCTGCACCTCCTTTAAGTGGATTTGGACCTCACTGGGCAGGTTGGAATGCAGCTGATCACGGACCTGGGGGAAATACAGTGAGAGTGAGGCGATATATAGGAAACAACTTCTGTACCATGCATTTGTGAATACTATTTCATAAAATAAGATGGTTAGTGTGCATTTGTGTCAGGACAGAAAATGTCTTTTATTTTAGGAGAAATACAATATGTAGAATCACATATTTTCCTCTCGCTAATGAAATAATACATGCTGAGGATGTTTTTATAGCCAATTCACTCCTTTGGCCAAGACATGGAGTGCAAATATGCCTTTCAATTACCTATCTACACCTCATTTATCAGGGAAGCTGTTGACATAAAATATAATAATCTTCTAGCTCACCCTCTCAACCTCCACGAACACTCGCAGGAAGTTCCCTCGGAGGACATAAGCCAACTCATTCTCTGTCCAGTTCCTATGCAGGAGTTCCTGTATTAGGGCAGGATACTTTGACACATCCTCTAACCCCTGCGGGAATCTGCAGAGGAAAAACACATTCCAATTCACAAAAGAAACCATTCGGACTGTTTTACTGTCACTTCATACACTCGTTATCAATAAGTAATAATAATAATTTACACTGGCAAATTTGGTCCGTTAATATTATTTTTCTTTTTACATTCCTGTTAGGACTAGATTGTGTCTGCATGCAGGGAACACACAGATTCAATGCCCACCATTCTACAGTAAATCTACTGCAGCAGCTCTCTTTACGCCTGTTAGAAGTACAAAGTTATTGATTTTTGTTTTTATTACAATTTTCCAGCTTGTTGACAGCTGAGACAGCCAAATTGCTGATATCATGACAGGCTAACAAAAGCACAAAATTGAATGAACAACAACCTCTTAAACATGTTGTCTGGAAAGTGCCAGAGATAAGTGTGTACCCTACTGGCATGAGCTTTGTTTTATTTTAGTTTCTGTGTGTGCGTATGCAAGTTGTGTCTCTGAAGATTACCACTCATCCTGATCATAGCACACCTAAAAGCACTAAAGCAATCACAGTTATCTGTATGTTGTGTTTAATGAATATTGAATAGTGAATATTTCTCACCTCACAGCACCTTCAAAGTCCCCTCCAATTCCTATCGACTCAGCTCCAATCACCTTCTTAATGTGATCAAAATGCTCTGTAAAACCCAGGTTGAATAATAAATTATCTGAGATGTAAGAAATACATACTATGAATTCACTCGATGACTTAAAAAAAACAGTCAACATGGATGCCTCACCAGCCACATGAGATATGTTGGCTTCATCCCTGCAGGAAATGAAATTGCTGTGGAGATTCACCATGATCAATCCGTGGTTCTTTTTCTGAAACACAACACAGGAGTGTCACTGCCAAGTGTAGTGAGTCAAGAAATATTATGTAGAAAAGCATTAAGAGGGAATCTATGTATGTAATCACATTTTTTAGAGACAAGCAGCCTGTATTTCTGTCTCATTTACATTCACCAGTTGTAATGGTAGCTGTTGAAAATATTGGGTTTATATTTGTCTTATCTCAAACACCCTGTAACCCTGTGCTGCAGTAAACCGAAAGCCTGTTTTGAGCACGCACACACAGAAATCTGTGGTATAATGAGAAACATGCCTGCTAAAGTGGGATCTGAGGGGGCCAGAGTTGGGTTGAGGTTAAATAAGAGAAATATATCCATGTTATTTATTTTATTTACATTCATTGATATTCAATCTTAATCTACTGTGACACCAGGTATATATATTAAACATGGCAAATTTACATTTTGATAATACACCGATCAGCCATAACATTATGAGCACTGACAGGTGAAGTGAAACACCCTAATAAAAAGTTAATGCTGGTTCTGATAGAAAGGTATTACTACCAAAAATACTTAAAGCAAAATGCAACTCCAACCCTTTTGACATTAACATTTGAAAAGTAAGGCAAGATGTAATTATATCTTTCAACATACATTACTGGTGGTTGGGTTAGGCTGAAACAAAAAGAAATTGATAAAAAAAAGAAAAAGAAAATACAAGTCGTGAAGGAGATTGATGTTCTTTTGTAAGCAAAGTACACCCTATATAAGCAGACCCTCTAGATTCAAGTAGGGAAAAAGTTAGTAATGAGTTAGTGTTAAGCTGAATAAGGACACATGCTAATGGGAGGTATATGAGATACTGAGAGAAAAGAGTCTGGGGTTGTTGTTTGGGGAAAGACATCACAAGTAGAGAGTACAAATATGATATTGCTACTGTTAGGAGTTAACTGATAATTAACCAAACCTACAGCACCACGATTAAAGTACAGTAAAAATCGACTAAAGAATGTTGGGACGTGCACTTTGGAGCTTTGGCTAGACTGTGAATCATCATTTTATTTTGGAAACCCTGTGCCACACAGTCAGCTGACAGCCAAGTACAACCTAAAGTTCAGTAGAGGATGTAGAAGAGATTAGTGCGAACAATGAAAGTCATAAATTAGATCATATGCTACAACTATACCCTTGGGATTTAGAGTCAATTATAATGACCGTTAATGGGCTGAAATAGAATAATTGTTTAATGGTGGAAATCAGCTCATACATTTTTTATCCTGTCGATACACAAAAAAGTTAAAAATAAAAGCATATTACATGTTCTTTGTCAGAGGTATAAATAAAACTTATAATTAAAATTATTCAGTGACTTGATTAATAAGATAGTCATTTAATCAAGCAACTAAGCAAGCAATTAATCACTCAGTGAATTGGTTCTCTCACCAGCTGGTGCAGCATCCAGTCAGGTACGTTGCGGTGGTGGTTACAGATGGAGTAGGAAGATGAATGGCTAAAAATTACAGGAGCCTTGGAATGCTTCAGCACGGCCAAGGCCGTGTCCCAAGAAGTGTGGGAAAGGTCCACTATCATTCCCAGTCTGTTCATTTCCTCCACCACGGCCTAGAAAACACATTGAAAAACCATTTAAGTGGCCATTTACAGTATCATTGGGAGGAAGGAAGACAATTCAGCAGACAGCAGGATATGGTTACATGTACGTGCAAATAACACACTCATGCAGATGGCAATCGAGGAAGTCCTACAATGCTGCTGTTGAGAGGGCCAATTGAATAGGAAAAGCATTATAATTGTTTTAACAAAGGTTGTTTACATTATACAGCAACGTTGCTGTAATAATCAAATGGCAAGTGTTATGTTCTAATACCTTCTCAAATAAGAGACAGCCAAAATCTGCAAACGTGCTGACATGTTGCTTTTTGGAATGCAATAAATGCTAATAGAAGCTTACCTTCCCAAAGTGTGTGAGGCTGTTGTTCTGTCTTTGATAGACATTATAAAGTTTTGAGGATGATTCAGCCCTGTATTGAAAAGGGATACTGTCAAAACCACCAATTATGCAAGCGTTGTAAGTATTGTGTGTCCCTCACTACCAGAAAATGTAAAATATTTCCAAATAGTGCTTCATTTATGGGCTCTGAAATGGAAGTATAAAGAGAGTACAAATACAGGCTTGTTTGCATAGGAGGAAAAAAAAACACATTTGACATTTCCCCTCAGTCAACCCTGTAAACAAATCCTTAATCCAAAATTCTATTATCTTTAAAAATAGCAACAAAAGCTTACGGTAAAGGAAAAGTTCTACGCAGGTCTGAGCCAATGAACAGTGTAATAGAAAATCAATACAACATTATTAAAAACATATTCTATACAGTAATATGAAGTATAGCAGCCTTGGCTTTATAAGAAGTTTAAATTCCAAATATCTGTATTGGACCTAGAGATGCTTTTTTATTAGATCACTAGTACTCTGATACTGATACTCTGTTGTGTTATGTGGCTGTCATTGATGTCCACCCTTGTGTGTGCAAGGTGTGTGTGTATATATATTTTAATAAAATATAATTATTTAATTAAAAAAAATATTTGAAATATAGGACTCATATATATTATTCTAAGTAATATAATGCATTCAGAATAAATCTCCTTATTACCAGGGTGTGTTGCAGGTATGTGTGAGGGCCATGGAGCGGACCCCAAGCTGGTAATACATCCGCAGGGCTGCCAGGCTGCTGTCAATAGAGTGGCCCCCCTCAATACTTATTAGGCAGCCTATCTTACGCCTCATCTCAGAATTCGTTAGTTCTGCATTGACCGACACACATGTATGGCACACACAGTACACACATTATCCAAAATGAAGGCATCTTGCCAAGCTAATAGCTGCTACCTGCTTCAAGGTTGCATTCAGAAAAAAGCATGTAAAAACAAATAATACAAAATCTCCTGGGAAACATACATAAAAATATACATCAAATCACAACTACTTTGTCTTATGCTTACATGTTAGTGAATGTGTTCTTAACATAAATTACTGAACTCTCGTTATGATCATTATAAATTAAATTTGACTGTAAATAATACATACTTAAGAGGATGGATTCATAAATAAGAGGATTGTAATTGAATCATAATTGTAGATAACCAGATAGATCTAAACCCATTACGAGTTATACTATACCCTGGACAGATGTGACCAGCTCAAAGTCCTGGTACTCAGTGCACATGCGTCTGACTACATCTATTTGTTCCAGAGTCAGCCTCACAGCATCCTTCTCCTGGGCCCCACACATCACATAGACTGCAAACATCTGACAAAGGGACGGGGATGTGACACAAGAGAACAGCAGAGACATGTATGTTACTGAGGTGACTGTCATTTTAGGTCTGATCTTTCCACAACACGGTCCCTTCAGGTCCAAAATGTCAAAGTTTGACAGTTAAAAAAAAGTAAATGTGTGCGTTCATTTTGCTGCTCTCTGGAGCAATCCACACTTTATAACAGACCAGTGTCAGCAATGAAAGGTTGATTCAACTACAATACCTGTGCCTGCACATGGCCTGCATGGAGACGGGTGATGTCGGTGGCCAATTTGCTAACATTTTGAAGGTCAATTTGGCTCAGCCGATTGTTGTGAAATATCCTCAGCTGGAGAGCTAGGTCATTGTGACTGACAGATGGAGGGAGAGGGTGTAATGAAAAACAGAAAAGATGAAGAGGTATTCTAATTTGATTCCATTCACTTATTTCCATAAATCAAACCCCTGTGTAGGCAAGACAATAAACATCCTTTACCCATCAATTAGAGGATATCTGGTCATCAAGTCACGCACTCTATCACTCTCAGAGTATCCAGATATAAGACTACACAGAGAGGAGAGTACCACTAGGTGCTTTAGGGACATCCAGAAGCAGCTTGAAGCACTTGTTACAGGTTTCCTAGAAGGCATTCTGGAGAACACACAACAGTAGCAATTATCTGATAACAAAATAATCACAGCTCATCGCTAAGACACACACACACACACACACACACACACACACACACACATACACACACACACACACACACACACACACACACACACAGACACACACACACACACACACACACACACACACACACACACACACACACACACACACACACACACACACACATAAGCCCAGAGCTGGTCAGCCTTATAGGCACACTATTACAACTCTGTAATGCAAGATAGAAAGCAATGCATTGACATTGACTACTGAATAAATACTGAATTTAAAATGTTGATTAGCTTGCCATACTGGGCAAAAAAATCTCTCAGTAAATATTAACCATCAAGTATGCAGTAAAGCCTCAGTATAAATAGTATTTTATATTTGAAAATGTATAAAAGGAAATCTGGGGGAACCAATTTGAATAGGTGATGCAGATATTTTCAGACTTAAAACTGCAGCCATTATTATTTTCTACATTTATATTTTCTACAATGTGAATATTCTCTTTATATTCTATAGAAAATATTCTATTGGATGAATATCATTTGTTTGTACATAATAAAGTATAGATCTAATTCTAAGACCAACAGATGGAACGGTTTTAAAGGACGAAGTACTGTAGTGGGAGCTGGTGTGACTGTATGTCAATGGCAAATGGTTTCCATGGTTTACAGGGTCAGATAGGAGGGCCCCCTAACAGGATTTTGCTTGGGCCCCAGGGAGGTCAGGACCAGCCCTGCATAAGCCACATTCACTATTTTGGATTTGTAATTAATTTTGGAAGGAAACAAATATCACAGCACAGATAGGTCTCTTTCCTACTATTACAGAAACATTATAGAAATATTACAGTGACAACAGGAAATACAAACAATGACAGCACCATTATAAACCTGCTGCTTATCTCATACATATATTTGAAAGTACTTGGAATACATTACACTTAACTCTGATGAGATTAAAATGCCCAAAGGTATGATGATAAATAATAAAAGTTTCTGTCTAGCGTGCTATGATTATGGGAAAAAAATATTTAAGCAACACTAGACTTACCTGCCAGCTCGTTAAAAAGTTACTTGTCAACCACCTAGGTGAACAACTGCAAACGAACAACACGAACTTTCCAGCTCTCCGCCCCAAACAAATGTAAAGCAAATGACCATACAGAACTGGCACGGGATGGGTGCTGCATTCAGGTCCTGTCGGAAAAGATTACCAAAACATGTAGAATAGAATGAATTCCGCCGTGTTTAGTCAACAGAGATGGCTTGATGCTTTAATGGCAGCAGCAATTTTGTTTCACGTTTTCAACTCTACTTGGACTTAATGCAATGCTTCTCTTCTTCACTTTAAAACCTTAATTTATGTCTTACTTACGTTACTATTATACAACCGCGCTGACTCTCTCTACGAGGAGCATTTGAAAGCACCGTTGAGACCCTTGGATTAGGAATTGAGCCCTCTGTTGGCAAAATTGTGTAATCGCTACTATAAATGGCCGATGTTCCAGACCACGCTTGTCTCCCATGCGTTTTTACATTTGACACGTTTACACTGATGATTGCATTCAGGTAACAGAGCGGCCATGTTTGTATTTTGTAAGAGTAATTATTCGTTAAGAAAAACAAAAGAACATAAGTCGTTTGATTGATAAAAAAAAAAAAAACACTCCAGAAATACACAGTCTATAACCAAACAGCTTCCGGTAATGTTCTAGAAAACTACTGCACAAACATGGCAGACCACTAATGGAAACACTGGACAGTAACAAAAGTAAGTCGAAAGAAAATGATAAACACGCAAATATGAAAATGTATAATGGAACGGATAAATAAACCAGGCAAATACAGGTAAATAAACCTGATACAGGTAAATAAACCTGATAAAAATAAGGTTTGCTGCCGCCCACAAGCTAGCTAGGTCACTTCTGGTTGCCATGTTTTTAAGCTGAATGTTTCCATTACAGCTGAATTGAAGACGGTTTGAAGAGTCTGAAAGTTCCCCAAACAGGGACAGGTCATGTTAAAGTTTGGCTTGAAATTTAGATGCTTAGCTTAGTAAGTGGAACATATCATCAGTATGTAGACAGGTTGGGGACAGGCAGTGTATATTGTGTTGAACATGCCAGTAATGACAGAAACCTGATTTTAGCAGTAAGGTATCTTGCTTGTGGTAATCTTGGGGGCTGTCTTGGAAATTATTGAGGAAATTAAATAAATAAATTTGTTGTAGGTAATGATGTTTTTTAGTTGTGCACACTTGAGAGTGGAAACAAAAAGAGAGTGTGAAGACAGGCATTCATTGGCAAACCTATAACATTATATGGATCTTGTTCTTTAGGTTTATACCAGTGAATAAGTACAATAATGGATGAATACAGTAATGATACCACTTTTACACTGATTAAGTCAAATTGATGCTGCATGTATTTTCTGTAAATCCATGTGAGTATGCTGTAGGATGCACTGTATCGCTATATTGCTATAGACTGTTAAGCCACTTTTTGAACAGCAGATTTTGTAGCTTGTAGATTTTTGTCTGAGAAGTTAAGGAATCTTCATAATATGTCTGCAATCCAAATCGTATCGTGAATTGTAACAAATTGTGAGTTGAGTGTGTTGTTACATTCCTACTTTAGAGTAAAACTTTTACTTTTCTATTTTCAGATTGCCTCAGCTTGCAGCCTTGCAGGTCAGTAACACTTATTTTGTTTGATTGTTGAACTTTATTATTTTCTATATGAATTGCTAAAACTGGTATACAAACCCTAAAGATTGCGTATAGGCCTGGGAGCCAGATTGCAGGAGCAGATTGTGTTGTATGATATGATTGTGGCGCAAACTATTGAGGACGTGCCCAGGTTATATGGAAGCCACACCAAATGATATAATGTCATGGGACCAGTGCTAGCCCCCAGCACGCTTCCACATGCTGCTTCCCTATTTTTCCATGGCCGCTTTGGCAAGTCATCAGCAGGTAGATCTGGTAGGGACATCTTTCCTGTGCACAGCGGTTGAACACAAATAGGTGTCCATACATATGGAAAATGGAAATAAAGATTTTGAAAGGACATTTAAGTTGGTCTTTGCTATTAGCTGTGAAAAGGATTTTGAGGCTTTTTTTTAAGGCTTGTAAACAGGATCTCACGGTAGAAGTGGATTTTTATCAAATATTCACTAGTTTGGGGCGTCCTGGTAGCTCACCTTGTAGCTGCCCCATGTACCAAGGCTGAGTCCTTGCTGCTGCGGCCATGGGTTCGACTTCGACTATGGCACCCCATTTGCTTTCCCTCCTTTCCTGTCCCCCTGCAGCTGTCACTATCAATTGAAGGCAATAAAGGCCCACCCAAAAAAGGTTATTTTGAGATTCCTGGAATGTTGTTTATAAAACGGCCCATTTAGACTGGAATAAACAGCTACAGATATATCAGTATTTGCTTGAGTTTGATCCTCTAGCATTCAGCGGTACAGAGTAGTGATGAGAATGGTGAATGCATTAGCTGCTAATGTGTTTGTGATAATTGTTTTTTTTTTGCTTGAGTACTTGGGTTTGCTTTGGAGAGAGGAAAGCTTTTGCATGTGGTGTGTAAAAATAGTCTGTGTTCTATGAATTATAACAACCGTTTATGCAGAGTTTTAGGACTGCATCTGATGGGAAACAAGGGTGGCAACCATGTGGTATATTAGTTCTCATGTATGGAGAAAGGTGTGCTAGTCATCACATCTGTTGTAGTTTTTGTAGCATGCTGCCTGAGACCGTAGTCCCCCCGATGTTCATGCAAGAGTAGATAAATAAATAATACAGCCCTCCACGGGAGCAATACCTGGTCAGAGTACTTTGCTTTCCCTGAACAAGAATCCTTCCCAGCATGATGCATCTGATACTGTGAACTGCAGTTTACAATCTGGCCTGAAAGCAGAGGTCCACACCACAGAATACACCTGTGCTTTTACGTGTTTTAAAACTTGAAATGTGCTTCTGCTTAATGGATCTGGGGTGGATTGCACAAATGTGAATGAGTCCAGTGTTGATGGGTAGCATCAGGGTGCCACAAATGAATTTCAATTAATTTCAGTGGGAAGATACAAAGCCTGATTCTGTGGTCCACCCACTGAGATTTGGCCTTGTAGTCTGTAATGAGGAGAGTGATTCAGCACTGATTGGAGCGCCCTACTGCTTCAATGGAGTAATCACAACTGTGTTGATATTACTCTACCAATCCTCCCGCTGTGCGGAGTGGACCCCCAGCTGACACTGTTTGAATTAGAATTAACCAAATCATTTAGTCATATTGTCGACCTTGGTGTGCAATGTGACTGGCAATAAAAGAGATAAAAATCCCTCACGTTAAACAGAGTTTTAATAGTTCGACAGGGGAACTCGAGCCAGATTCTTGTCATTAGTGCAGCTGGCCACTGTTTTTGTTTTAAATAATGTGGTGGAAAGGTGTGCAGGGGTTAGTTCACTATCAGGTGAATCACTTGAGAAAATAGATTTTCTAAATAATGGTGTTTTTCTTTAAACTCTTAATGAAATGGAGATCGCTTCACAGATAAGCGCTTGACCACATGGACAAAAGGACTGCTCAAGTAGGAAATGCCACTTGCCCCAGGTGTTTTTTTAACCATGAATTCCAGGGATCTAAATATTGAAACTTTAACTGTGCTACTTCAATAATAGTTTCTAAAAGATGGATTACTGCAGAATTCCATGTCAACAAACAGCAACATTAATTTAATGCTACCATGTTCAGTATGTATATAGCATTGTATTGAAAATTGTAATTGTGAAGGGTGAGGTGCTTAATTGTGCATTTATAATTGCAGCATCTATGATTTTACAGTCTCTATAAAATACTCCACTTCCCATGTAGTTAGGTATATTTGTGATTTGTGAACCCCTGGGAAAGCACTGTATTACAGCAGTATTATTATATTTTTAAGTTATACACAATAATAGCTGTTGTATACTAACTAAAAGTTATTATAACTAAAATAGATTAAATGGTATTTAAAAAAATTAAATATGATACAATAAAACATTGAAGACACTTAAGATAGGACTGTAACATTAACTCTAATGTGTGTATTATGTACAATGATAGTGATATTCTAGCTATTGGCTATTGTAGCTAGGCAAAGTTAGTGCAAATTAAACAGTTGTCGAAGAAATCTCAGCTTGGTTGCTACACAAGGTTTCATGGTGAACTTGTATTTGTAGTTATAAATACTCTCTGTTAAAAAAGTGCACTTTTAATAACTGTAAAAAACAAAACTATTATACCTGCAGTTATACAGTGCATTCTTCAAAGTTGCATGACTGTCTGTAGTAATATGTTTAGTCCCTTGCTGTTCCAGGGGTAGGATGCTAAAGAAAACCATGATGCCTTTTCAATATTGATCGCACTGGAATGGGGCATCCAATTACACCGATAACACCGAGAGGCAGCAGCTGTTCGTCACTCTGTTCATCAGTACTGGGTGGAAGAATGTTAATATGCAACCCAAGAGCACTGCACATTATACTTATGCATTATACTGTTTTTTTTTAATTAGATTTTTACATCTGAACACAGCCATTATTTTGAAGCAGTGCGGCCCCCATATTAATCACAGTAGAATTACATTTCCCCCATACTGTACAGTGCACATTTTTACCTAAGGGTCAGAGGGTAAAGGCAGGACAAGCCGGAGGGGCTCCTCATTTCCAGCTCACCATTATTTATCTGGCTTTTCCCTCAAGTCTGAAGTGTCCCGCCTCCACCTTTTAGTAGGCATTGCTGAAACAGAACAAAGCTAATCTTTGCTGGTGCAGACATAAGCTTTAGCTCTGTGTGTGTGTGTGTGTGTGTGTGTGTGTGTGTGTGTGTGTGTTTGTGTGCGCCATGGGGTCTTTTCCGTTCTTTATTTATTTCACAAATATCAGTCCATAAGCCTCTCCTGTTTCTCACACCTTTTAGAAGAGACGATACAGTATTATGCTTCATTTTCATAATATAGCAGACCTCTTTGATACTTCAAATTCTTAAATCTAATTGAGTCTGAAGTCCTCTCGTAATTGTGAGGGGGAGGGAATTAATATACAATGGTAAAAAGTAGTCTTTATACTTGTTGAAATTATAAAAGGAGAAAAACCAACCATTAAATTGCTATAGCATTGAACAATTTAAAAAATACCATTGCTCATAGCTCCCATTTGCTTGTTGTAAATGCAATGTAAAATTATTAAACATGCTACCAAATCATAATCTGTTCAGTGACCATTTAGCTTTGTTGTGCAAAACTTCTACTGCACAGGACCAGAGATGCCTGTCAGATATACCAATAATAGTGCCCATGAGCAAAGGGATGTATCTTTTTCTGCATTTCACTTTGAACCTATTTCTCCACCAGAGGGCAGCAACAGTCAGAACAAACTCCTGTTGGTTTTCCCATCCCTCATGAAAGACAATTAGTCAAATACCTAATATAATACGCAGAATTTACAGATGCATGAATATTACTTAATCCATAAAAACATGCATGAATAATATCTAAAGTGCTTGAGAAAGTCCTTAAAGTTAATGTAAGTTTGCCTCAATTTGCTTCTAATTCTAACAGCACAATGCAGCTCTTCGTGTTAGTAACTACTAAGTCATAGGTGATGTTTTTTTTGTCTTTTATTTAGTGTAAATACAGTGTACCTTCATTTTCTGTGATGGCTTTTGAAAGACTGGTGAAGACATTTTGGTTCCTGAACTTCTCATTTCTTTTGCCCTGGATTCTGGCAGCCCTGTAGTCAGTGTTCATTATCTGCTCTTACAGCTTTGACTTCAGCACAGCAATTACATCCTCAGCTGCGCTGATTAATCCAACATGGAGGCATTTCACAAAATGGTTTTGAAAAGACATTTCCAGACACTTACCAGGGAGTAGCTGTGGCACGGCTTGTTTATGCAGATAGACCACAGCCAGTCATATTGCAATAAGATGTTTTCAATGGCTGCTTAAGTGTTCTCTTAACCTCTAGTGTACACTGTGCAGGAAACAATAGACTGCTCAGAAAGTGATTAATTTAATCAATTTTACTCCTGACATAAAATGGAGGTCTGTCTGATATCATGTTTGGGTAATGTACGTTTTTCTATTGTTGAATGTATTCCCTCTATGACCATTTGTTATATATTTCTCCACTGCTCTCTGCTTAACTGCTTAACCTCCATTCTCTCTTGACAATCACATAATCAATCACTGTCCCATTACTTGACAAGGCAGACAAAGAGAGTGTATGAGTGAGAAAAACCTTTGGCCTGTCTCGACAAGCAAGAGGAATGTCGACTTCAGAGGGCTAACACAGGCAGAAAACATAGGCCCAGTAAATATTCAATTTAAAGGATTCCAAGATAAGGCGAGTTGAAAAATTGAGGCAGCACCCATTCTTCTAGATAAGAGAAGACGGAGCCATCTGGAGGCTGGGAGATAGCGAACTCCCACACCATCCCAGAGACCTCACTCTCATCTGCTGCAGCGGCAGAGGCAGGGAAATGGAGTGCCAACACTTTCATTATGTTAACTTCAAAATGAATTTATTCACATTCAGTGCATGTAGTTATTGGCTTTGGTAAACAGAAGGTTACTGTTCTGTCTGCCGTAAAAGATTACTATAATCGGACAGTCTTAACATAATGTTGTTCTTTATTAATGATTTAATAACTTAATTACTACACACACACACACACACACACACATATATATAAAGACATATCTTTAAACCTGCTGCATTAACAGTTACTACTGAAATTGTCTAAGCAGGGGAAAAGATGGTCAAGATTTTAGCTTTTTTTCTTTTAACTAATAACTTTTTGTCATTTGTAATCTGTGTGTGTGTGTGTGTGTGTGTGTGTGTGTGTGTGTGTGTGTGTGTGTGTGTGTGTGTGTGTGTGTGTGTGTGTGTGTGTGTGTGTGTGTGTGTGTATACGGGGCAAGGTAAACCCAACACAAATGGTGCATTTTAGGCCTAGGCCTGTATCTCCTCCAAATCCACCTCGACTACATCTTTAAAAACAAACATTATTGGCAAAATGGACTCTGAGCTTGTGAATAACCTTGTCCACATTCTTATAATGCACTTTGTTGACTCCTCCACCATGCTATTTTGTGCCAGCCACATTGGATTTAGCTTCGGGATAATGCTTTTGTCAGTATGTTTTATCTGTTCTCTCACTCAGGTACGCTATGCTGTTATCCCTAATTACCCCCACTGCATTTTACACTTGGCCCAGAATTCTTAATGCTTGATAACAGATGCAGGTCGATTTGAAATTTACTTATAGCGGTATTATCTTTTTGACCTGCATTGCAGACTGACTGTCCCATAGGCTCTTGGGTGAAAGCTGTTAACTCTGTGATAACGCCATGAACTGATAACCTTCCAACAGTCTTGAGGACACACAGTTTGCTACATATGTGCTGTATTGCAGTCGCAGCATTTCTTATTCAACCTTGGGTGCTTTGCTGTGCTCTGATTCATTTAATGGGATCGAGAGGGAGGTTATTCACTATGTCCACCATAGACAGTTAAAGTTCTGGCTGACCACTATATGTAAACTGATTTGTATTCTTTGAAAGGCGAATTTGAACGCTAATGCCATAGGTGTGAACTCTTCCTTTTTCTCCATTTTAAGCTGCAACAGAATGGTCTCCCCAGTTAGGAGTCACTTTGATTAATTTAGTTTAGGATGCCGACATCTGCGTTTGCAGATTTTCATTAAGATCAACAGTAAAAGCTTTAGACAATGTTCCCCTTGTCTAAGTTATTATCCCCAGAAGACATGGTTGATTAAGCGGAAAAAGTTCTGAAGTATTCAGATAAAATAATTCTCAGGAGGTTTATTTTGTTTGTCTTGTTTAGGACAATGTACAATATATGTAGAAATCTTTAATCCATGAAATTCTATGCATACGCTCCCAGCTGTTTGTTTTTTTTTTTCTTCCACTGTGCATTCTGCATGGAGTTGAATTTTGATCCAATTGCCATAGATGTCTACAGCATCCAGTTAAGATTTAGCAATTATTCAGAGGTACCTTTTTTTTTTTTTTTTTTTTTTACAACTAAAATGTTATCTAAATGGTATTAAAATGCAGAGAGGCAGTCCACGAAAAATGTTAACTGCAGAAAGTCGGCAGCCATTTCATTTATTATATCAGTGAACTACAAGTGCACAGTGTTACTCTGGAAACTTGTCTCTTTTTAGATCACATTGTTCAGCGTATTATTTTGCTTGAGAAATGGTAGAATAAAGCAGAAGAGGTGCCATACAATAGATATGGTTGTTGGGTAGGCTTATTGGCTGAAAGGGAAGGAGTATAGCATGTTTCTTGGGTTTCATATTTTGCAGGAACAGTGTAGTGTGAAGCTCTGTCAAGCCTAGTTTTAATCCTTTTCTCCACTGTGTTATGTGATGTTATGTTGTTATCTTAATGATAATCTGTGCCTGTATTTCTGCCCTAGGCATATCTGTCAGGCTGGGTTGGTTTAGGAGCTGTGCCTTATCAACAGCTTTGTCATTAAATCAGCTTTTTCTGCAGACAAATTTCACTGCAGTTATTCTTATCAAAAGATCAGCACACTGTGATTTTCTGTTCAATCAGAGCTTTGCAAATGTATGAGTAATAAAGATGAAATACAGAACAAAAATTCGATTGGGGAAAAAAACAATTTATTTAATTTTGTTTTCATGAGAGTTAATAATCAGACAAATAAAATTGGTATGTTTTGCATTTGTCATACCATCAATGGCTTTAAGCTGTTTTTATTTTTTGTTCTTACGTTGTGTATTATTAAAGGCTACACTTAAGAACATGGAGGAATAGAGATGATTGTAACATGATGCAAATAAATAATTTTGTCCACAGGCTGGAGCTAGTTTACTGCAAGCAGGAATCTGGAACCTGTGCTCTTCATGGCTTTTTCTTTCTCAGTGTGAAATGGGATGTGAATCTGGTAAAGATTTTATAACACGACAGCACACATCGTCACAGTTTTGTGGATGTGAGAGACCATGTTGGACGTGCCGAGAAACACATCCCTTAAATGCTGTATGTACAGAGGCAAGCAGTCAAACTGACCTCTGGAGGCTGGAATTGGTACTCAGTTCTTCTGAGAAAGCACTGTTCTGTCTGAGTGAATGTTCTGATTGTCTCAGCATTGTGCTTGAGTGGAGGGCAGCGCCAAATGAACTCCTCTGATTCAATCCTCTCCACTGTTCGACACCGGTTCAGCCAGTCAGTGAGGAGGGTGAACTGAGACTCCCTCTCCCAAACACACTCTCTTACAGTGAGGGAAACTGCTGTATGGCAAAGGTCCAAGAGGTCTCTTGCATGCTGTCTGCGAGGAAGATTCAAGACCCTCTCTCTCCTCCCACAATGCACTGAGAATCTCTGGAGGCTGATAGCCTGGTTCCTGGGGATCTAGTGGGTCTTTGGAAAGAAGGATGCTGATGGAGGGCACAGTCCTGTGCACCGTCATCTCAGATGTCCCCCCTTCAGTATTCTCCCACACCTCTTTCACCACCTTGTACTGCAGTTTGGTCAGCTGGTGCAGAGAGCCCACTTTTCGTTTCATGATTTCAGCACAGGTGATGGTCTTTGTGACTGCACGGCCTGACCCAGTGAAGACCACCTGCCTGAGCCCGCCACTCACACCTCCCCCACTTACACCCTTCTCTCCCTGCATCCGTGCCATGGCAAATCCCATTAAGTTGCGGATCTTACTTCCCTCCTTCACGCGCATCTCCAGCACTCCAGAGGCCAGTCCTGGAAAGGGACAGGGGCTGACCTCCTCAGTTCGGCAGACTTTCTTGAACCCTTCCTGCCCTAGTTTGAGTGCAGGGGGAGGGACTGGTAGCGGCGTTGGCTTCAGCGGGCTGGAAACATTGTTCACCACTACTGGCTGGCCAACATTGCTGTAAGTTTGATCTTGGTAGACAGAGCAGGTCCCTGGGGTTACCCCATTCTCCATTTGTATCGGTCTGTTCACCTCTAGTCCTGGGTGGGGCCTGACAGCGGCTCTGGTAAGGTACTGATTCTGGCCGCTGACCACTCCACACCCTGTGAACATTTCTTCTGTCCTGAATGCTGCACTGCAATGTCAGTCCAGACACACACTTTCCCCACATGGAAAACAGCTCAACATAATTTTCCTATGTATGTGGCACTTTTCTCTCCCTCCAGTCAACAGCTGTAAAGTTTCAAGACTTCATATAAGAAATATTACCCGCTCCCCAAGAGCAATATCAATGAAGTCTTTAATGCTCCCTCTCCGAAAGAGCTGGAGAAATAAGATAAACGCCTGGCTGGTGAATTAAGAGCACTGTCGGGACCATTCAAGATGTTCTTTAAAGAGCATCTCAATTTCATACCACAAATGACTGTTTGGAAAGTGCTCTGGAGATGGATAATAATAATAATAATAATAATAATTAGGAAAAAAAATTAAGCTGAATTATCCTCTTTTCTTCGTTTGTATATATTTCATATGGTACTTTTATCCTTAATTGCTGCAAAAGATATAGAGGACTTTGTTGATTCTTCTTTAGCCAAACTTTTCTAAACGAAAACTAAAAGCTCATATTAAGACTCCACCTTTTTCTCAGCGATCCAGTCCAGCGTTGTTGATTTTGATCTGCTGATCATGCTGCTTCAACTCAAAATTGACCTCTTGGGTTGTCCTGCTGCTCCACCTCCTGTATTGGAACTCTGGATGTTTTACTCCAGCTTGAGTGGGTCTGCGTCTCCTCTCCCTGTGCTCATCTAGGCATCCACAGTAGTTGAGGCCAGGGTTGCATGGAGGTCTGCACCTGGGGTCTTCTCCCCAGAGCTCTGTCTTGTCTCCAGTGATGCTCTGGGAAGTCTATTCTGTTCCCCACAAAGAGACATAAGGGACAGGAGCTGCCTCACAAATGCTCACAGGAGGAGTGTCTGTGTGGTTGAGGGAGAGCATGAGGGAAAGGGGAGACAGCCCTCTTAAAGGCGCAGGTCTTTTCATCTTTTAGATGAACACCCTCCCCTCCACAACTGAAGCCTGCCATCTGAGGAAAAAGAGAAGGGCAGGGCTAGAGTGTCCCTTTAAAACCTAGAACGCAGATCCCCGGCAACTTTGTCAATCTCTTTAGAGGACGTTCCAGTGTTCAATGTACATGACTGATTAAACCTGAGTTCTGAAATAGAGACTCAGTCAACCTTTAAAAATGCATTTTCAGCTCCGAAACAATGAATTAAATTAGCTCTGTTATAATTGAAAACATCCTTCAAAGAGCCACTGAAAGTCAGCAGCATTAAATTGCACTGTACTTAGCCTTTATCCTATTAGATGTTTGTGACCATTACCATTTACATAATGCAGCATTAATAGCTTCATTGTTGAGGCAATCAAGTGGCGCGGTAAGAATGCCTGTCTCTTAACGCTTGGATTGTTATATTGTTACAAGGCTGGAGAGCCCTTGTGATCAAGGACACAAGGACCACAAAAAGCATAGAGGCATGACTTCTATGTTCAAGGTGCTGTATTAATAGTGACTGTCTTCATTAGTCGGCCGTATCTGTGCAGGTGAGGAGATGGGGCTGACAGGTGGGGTAATGAGCATCTTAATGGGCTTTCCATCACCAGTGGAGGGCGCTGGCTCGCTCTCTTCTGCACCGAGTCAGGCCCAGACAGCTGTAGCATCGTCCTGTTCAGCCCAGTCTCCCGGCCGACAGGTGGATTTGTTTTTGTGTGTGACTGACAGATGGGAGAATAGGTAAAGACAACCCACTGAGGCTGAACCTATGAGGCCAAGAGAGAGAGGCAGATAAGTCCTAACTACTCTCTTCTCAGTACATCCCACGGTGCACAATAGTACACAGACAGTATAAACTCACCGTGGCTCAGGCCAGTCCTTAGTGTGAGGCTAATTCACAGTGGCATGTGTATTATATTGGATCCCTATGGTAATCAAAGAAAAAATAAGGAAAAGCCCCTGCACTTCCAGCTCCAACTGGGAAAGTGGGAACTGGATTTGAATGTCTTTTATTAGCAGAGTTTTAATGGCAATCGGCATCGAAGAATCAATGGATTGATTTGGATCCATGGAGTGATTAACTTTTTTTTATTTTTTAGTTCGTATGCACGAGGTGGGAGAGCTATTTATCTCTACTGGAACCATTCCAGTCACTGCAGGAGACGTAGTAACAAATATCTTTCTTTTTCTTGCCTTTCTTGTAAGCTAAAAAGAAAACCGGGAGAGAGAGAAGACAGGGGAGGAGGGAGAGTCTGTGGCTCTCACCACCAAAGTGATCATTCTGTTGTTTGGGAGAAATTACCCTCATCAGTCATACAGAGATGCACAGCTGCCTAAGGGGATCTGGTAATGTTACTGCATAATAAACTGTGTTTGTGTGTGTGCACGCATATGTGTGTGTTCAGAGTTAGAGCAAGAGGAGGCAAGAAAGCAATGCAAGAGGGCAGGGGGTAAAAGAAGTCTGATTTAACCACAGAGAGGTTAAAACTGATGATAAAAGCATCCGTAATCATCCCTCCTTACTACATAGTGTTGGTACATAATGTATTGCTTCTCAGTTTAACTTTAGAAACCTGTTTGCTGTTGGGAATGTGATAAATTAAGCAATTCAGCTTCTGAGTAAAATGCAGGGTTCCGAGCAAAGCAAAACACATATTCACAACTTTTTGTGTCTCCATCAAAGACAAAACTGTTGTTCAGATGGCTAAATAATACCATCAGGGTTTTGCAGAAGTGCTGTGTATTGACCTTTTTGAGCGAGCAGTTTTTTTCCTTTAAGTGGCTTCATTTAATGATGGGTAGAGGCGGCGGCGCTCACGCTTGGTCACTCACTCCTTCACACCTCCTCCACAGAGCTGGCCTCTGCTCCTGTAGCTCTCTAAGCACTTACTCCTCACTTTATCTGACCTTGGCTGGCATCTGTGACAGTCTAGGCATTCTGTCCTGCACGCTCACTTCCCTGTCTTCGTTCAACAACCACCCTCAGCTTTCACTCCTGCCCACCAGTTTTCAAGTAAAGAAAAACCATTTATTCCCAAACACTGTGACAAATAGTAGTGCTTGTGTCTTGCTCCTCTCCCTCTTTGCTATATACTTCAGATGTCTGAAGTGGTTATGAATTGTGGGGCTGTCCCTTTGTTGTTTGTTGCAGCACTGCAGTCTAGTTGTAGAGGGGCTTGTTGTGCTGTTGTCAGGGCTGCACATAAGCGCGGTGCCTCACTGTGACAGCCGGTCGCTCACTTTACGTTAACCGCAAGTGTTTTCACGGTCATCAACCAATGGTGGCCTGGAGGCTGTCATTTCGCTCCGTGTGGAGCATGCCCGTGGCTTGGTTCTGCCCCACAAACTCACAGCCGGCCCCGGTGGGGGGACAGAGCAACACACACACACACACACACACACACACACACACACACACACACACACACACACACACACACACACAGACATGCATATGCACTCACTTATAGAAGCACACGCCCACTAGATGGGCACACACATACACAAAAAAAACTATATGCTCAGCATAAGGCAGGCTGTTGGAGCAATTACAGAAACATGGCAGAACACGATGAAGCAGGCCCCACTATCAGAAGGGAAATAGAGTGAGCAGAGGAAAAATGATGACGCCATTAATAACAGGGAGGCTCAGAGGCTCGGAGGGAGGTGGGGGTGGATGACCCTCCCTGTGATTTCCCTGTGACAGCACTTTGAGGTGCAAATGGTTGTGTTTGTATTAGATTTTTGGACGTTTAAATGGGCATGTTTTTCCATCAAAGGGAAAAAAATAAATATAAAACAACGCTGGTATAATATACCAAATGATGTGTGAAGTGATGTTTTTCTGTCACTCATGCATCCATTATTTTGGTATATGACAGGTCAGACTTCCTTATTCTCATTCTCTCTTTTTTCATCTCTGTCTCAAGCTATTCATACAAATCTCTTCTCCTCCAGCCACTGCTTTCCCCTTGGCACTGCAATGCAGATGTGTCTCACACAGTGGCAAAAAACTTTCATTGAAGATGCTTGTGAAAGAGGAACATGAGAGAGAGAGAGAGAGAGTGGAGGGAAGGGCATGAAAAAGATGGAGCCAAAGGTAGAAGAGGACAGAAGTGGTGGGAATATATGCAACACTACCAGAAGTGATAAAGGAAAAAAAAAGTTTCTGCACTCGGAAACCCTGAGCATTAGAATGTGAAAAAGTGAAAGCATATGGTAGACAAAAAAAACAACAGACATGGCAACTCTTGATTTATGAGGCCTGTCACTGAAAGGGATGTCTTTAGCTTCATCAACTGAACAGCTTTACAAAGCTATCACACCACCCAACACATGTTTTGATGTTTTTGAAGAACCACCATGATGCAATAGGTTGGCATTTTTTGGTTCAACTTTAAATTGAATTGGGCGGAGCTCATCCCTATTGATCTATGCTTTTAGGTGTATTGTTGCACACACAATTTGATTAACGGCACTGTCTCTAATTTAAATTGGCAGCTGTAGTTGATAATCACATTTGTGTTTGATGCTTCTGTTTCTATGGCCTTGGGCTAGAAGTTAATGGACTTGATAGAAAAAATTTGATCAATTATATCAAGAATTAATTTGCCGTGCTGAAACAAATGCAAAAAGTAAATGAATGCCTCAGAGCAAGTACTCACTAACTCTGTAGCTTTCAATTTGGGAATGTAATGCTACTTATTGTATATTCAGAGACAAATCAACAGACGTTTGATGAGAAGATACTCAATCTGAAAAGTAAACATCAAACATCAGTGACAACAGATTGGCAGAGCTGATGTTGATGCTCTAAGTCAGTATGTTGTTGCCCCACAGTGAGTGCATTTTTTAAAACCTGGTACAAATACCATAATAGTGATTTTCCATGTATTAGCCAATTTACTAAAAATCACTTTTAGATTGTTGAATATATTTTTCAGACCTTCCGGGTAGCTATGGCTTCAATCTTTGTCTGTCGACTGTCTTGGAACATGCCTGTGATGTGTAATCCTTCACATCTGGTCTGTATTTACAGTATTTCTTTCAGAACCTCTGAATTTAAGGTTTTGTACTATTGTAAACATGCAAGAAACATCCTTCATCCTCAATTTTTTCATCACATTAAACCCCATATTTGATTCTGTTTATTTTATTAGATGTAATTTATTCAGCAACAGCCATTCAATGTTTAGTAACTATCTTTTTATATAGTAATTTTTATTCCTTCTGGCAGAGTCAGCTTTTCCTGCATGGTATTCAAATTGTCCGCACACAAAGGATTCAGAGTAAACAATGCATGCATGCACGCCAATAAAACTGTTTATTAATTTATGTACAGCTGTGTTGTATTTGCACTGCCTATGCAGTAGCAGGGGCACTTGTGACGCAACAGCAGGAAATGCAATGTATTTGTCAGGTAAGAGGCTCTTTGTTAGCGTTGCTGTTGTTCACTTGCAGTGCTGTTTACACAACAATACATGGACATTTTTTGACTTTTTGTCAATGAATGAGATTTTTAAAAAATGGTACCAGAGGAAACCGCTACAGTAAACTGCTAGATGAAGAGCTGCAGGCGACAGGCTTTTACTGCGGATTGTGCGAACCAGCACACCTCCTACATGTCATAAAGTTAAACAGTGCCTTTTACCAGTCTGTCCCGTACATGAAAAACCATTCCCAGTGTGCACACAAAATGAGATCTGATCGCAGGTGCTCATGGCAGGCTTGGCATGGGTATCCTGGCTGATTGATGATTTTCTTTATTAAAACAATGTGACACAATGAATCCTCTCCACAGTTTGCTGTAAACACCTACACCAGTTGCTCTTCTTTTGTCGCATTTTTGACATACTGCTGCTCAAGGTGAGTTTCCCGCCACCAGTGGTAAATCTGTGTCCTTTCAAATGAAACTCTGGGGCCTGTATTATTAAATCACACTTTATCGTTCTTACATTGTCAACTAGGAGTGGAGTCTCAATATATTTTTTTGGCCACTTGGGGGCAACTCAACAAAACGTGATATTGACATATAATCACATTAGTAAGTTGATATGGCGAATGTGTTAACAGTTGTTTGTTTAAAAATCTATCAGACACAGGGTAAGATTAGCATTTATTTGGATATACGATACTGTATCCTACAGGGTTTTTATGTTGTGTGGCTAATTGTTACAGATAATGAGCGAAGTGCAAGTACTGACCAATCAGTAGATCACTGACCAACTAGAAGTCTGTATAGAGGTGCACATGCCCAAAGCCCTCTATTGCAGATTATATATTAAAAAATAATGTAGATGGATTTTCTTTACAGTAATAAATCAATCTTAATGCAAAAGACTATGTGGAGCTAAAAGCTAACATCAGGTAATTTATGTTGCTCCTCTAGAACAGGGTTTGAACTTACAATATTTATTCTGCTGTATTATATTTTATCATATCCCAGAACCGATTTTCTGTAGCCTAATCTGGCAAAACTACTGTGAAAAAAAAATACTGTGTCTCTGACTATTCACCTCCACTATCTATACTCATTTTCGACTCTTCCCTTTCAGCTTTGAGATCATATACTTGCAGCTTTGGATATTACTTTTCCTCAATTCAATTTATTGACCAATTTATATCTTCCTCCTTTGGGTCCCAGACCAGCCTTTTAGCAACAGTGCACTGGATCAGTGGCTTCTGTACAACAAAATGAGACAAAGTAGGTTGTGGCTCTTTGTTCCCCCCAGTTTCTCATAAACACCTTCCTGTCACTGAGTTTCCAGATGGCCACGCTCCTCTGTATCCCACTGTTCATAGCTCTAAACTTCCTAGCACACACATTTGCATCGGGTCACTGCTCACTCCGACACGCTAGAGGAAGAGGAGCACTAATCCTACCCAGCATGCTTCCCTGGAAATGCTCTCTATGCAAATGGTTGAGTTTTTTTGTTTTTTGTTTTTTGAATCCACGGTGAGAGTGGTTTTGGTTGCAAGCATGTGTATCCAGTGGGGGTGTTGTAACACACGTGTGACTGTGGCTCAGTAGGTGTGGTTCTTTTGGCAAGTGACCTCCTTTCGAGACTTGGTTCAGGTTTCCTGGCTGGTGACTGGTTGTTAGAAAACACAGCAGTGAACTTTAAAAGATCTGTTCACAGGTCCACACCAGATTTATCCTGTATTTAATTGCATCGGAGAGCAATCACTCTCTGCCCTACAAATCCTTGGTAAAGCTGAGCTTTACAATAGAGCCATAATTGCAGGAGTTTAATTGCCTGCCAATGCTCTGCTCCCACTGCCTGCTTGCATTGAAGAGCCCAATAATTAGAAACAGGGAGAAATTAGGTGGCAATTTTGTCTTGGCAATTATCATAATGCAAAAGAAGTGCCATTAGTATTGTTAGCCCCACAGTACATAATCCTTTGACACTGTCAAGTTCCTCTCTTGGCTGCTGGGTACAACAACTCTTGATTTCCCTGTAGCCTTTGCACTCCCTCAGTCACTACTTAAGTCATCAGCTATCCAGGCCAGCCAGCACACTCTGAGTCAAACTAGCAGACTGAACACATGCATGCCCGGAGTGCTGGGAGGATTAGAAGCTACAGCATTAGCAGTCTGTGTTTCCTTTAAAGGTATATGAATTGGGTGTTAATCCTCTTCCACCATGTCAACCATGAAATTGTGTTTGATATAACAGAAAAATTAATGCAGTCGACAGATATTGTATTTGTACTGTACCGGCATTTCATTTTGTTTAACCGGATTTTCTTTGTTTTGACACCCAAGTTGTATATGTTCCTGTTTTAGAAAGTATACTGAGTAGTTTTAGTATATGGACAATGACAAAGAAACCTTATAGGCAGACCTTATCTCCTGGTAAGTCATTGCAACTATGACCTGCATAAGAAATACGTGGTACTGCATGTTTAGTGTATATTTGGACAGCTAAATATGTTTTCTGAAATTTAAAACAAGCTTTTCACTATTGACCACATCTCTAATTTCTGCATAAAACCAAAATGTGTTTTTTTGGTAGACCTTTCAGATGGCCTTGAAGAAACGAATATGTTTTTCATACAGTGTGTGTGTGTATATATACACACACATATATATATATATTTTTTTTTTAAGTAAGCATCAACCTGCATATTGCCACCAAAGCAAGAAAATAGGTAGGGAAAAGAGTCGGTTATGCATCATAATAAATTGTCATTAGCTCTGCTGTCTAGCTCACATTTCTTCATTACTTCAAACAATGTTTGTTGCTCTGGGACATTTTTCTTTTTGCACTTGTTTTGTACAGTTTTGTCATATTTATCAATACCTTGATATAGAGGGTACTGACCTCACAAGTAAGATAGCAAACTCACTACGGCTGCTTTGAATGGATGGAA